CTCACCAAATCAGAGAATGAAACCTCATTCATATAATGCCAAGAGAGCAGAGAGTAGTCCAAAATTTGGGACTGTGAATTCTTGGTCAATCTCAATTTCAAATCCTGAACAGACACAACCCTGCTTAGTTTATGAGATCTGACAGTATCCCTGCTCAAGGTGATAAGGCTGAAAGCATTGTACACACTTAGCCTCTGGCAGCAGAATAAACCATGACAGCTTGACAGTTCATCAATTGGAAAGACATTCACTCTATGTGAGACAGAGAAACTGGGAGTGGAACCTTAATTTTGGACATGCATCTAGTAAATCTATACTGCAATTACTTGCATGGTAATGTTTTCCTTTGATAAGTATTTTCGTAAATATTATTATGTGTATTTATGCCTGTGTGAAGGAACTGCCCCATTTATAAATGGAGCTGGTAATCCACAAACTAATTCATAAAACCCTTAAAGTTACTTGACATCTAGATTTGGAGTTTTGTAAAGTCAGTAATTAATTAAAATTACAGTTTAGTAGAAAAACATTTGAGTTATAAAACAAATACTTAAAAGTTAAGAATGCTTAAAAAATTTTAAAATAAAAACAAACAAAAAATTTTGAGTCAACAATATAAAAGCCACCATAGAATAAATAAATATTTATACCTGTAGTGCCTTTCACATAATACCTATATAATGCCAGCCCATTGAAGAATTTCAATCCAGCATGGAAGGTGGAACATAGAAACATAAACAAATAAGTGATTAAAAGACTTATTTAATATTAGTTAAGAATAAAGTAGACATACTTCGATGTATGTGATTCATTGTCACCTTAAAAGCACAGATAACATATCACAGACATATTCAGAGCAGCGTGAAACTACAGTGATCTTTGAACTGCATTGAACCACACTGGTCTTAGAAGGCTAAACGAAGCCCTCTCCTGCCATCCTCAAAAGCATGACTTGGTGAGTACCTGGAACCCCTCCATCCCTGGAATCATGAATTCATGTCTTTCTCCCTATACACAACTTCCTGACTCCGAAGTTCTCTCACTTAATCCTTATTAGCGTACAGGCTCTTCAGACCTGCGCAGGGCTCTATCCATCTGAGCCATACTTCCTTTCTGTTGGCGGGACTCCTCCTGTCTTTGTTGCCTTCCATGTCCAATTTAGATTTCACGCTTTGTCACTTTAACCATGCTCTTGCCAATATCCTTAACCTCACTGCCTCATTTTAGTGCTATAAAAAAACAAATCAAATCAAAACAAAACAAAACCAACCTGACAAAACCCCACTCCTACATTAATTCAAACTTATTCAGTCTGCTGAATTGTGCTAGACAAATAAATACAACCGTAGATTAGCGCTAGAGTGAATTCTTGATCTTTAAGCTAATATGAGCCAAAAGCTCTACCTGGAAATTTTTCCATGTTCCCTAGTCAGTTCTCTTACATTTGCCACAGCAGCTATTTTGAAACTTCTTCAATGTCTTCAAACATCCAGCCTCATTATCTCCAATGTCTTCTCCTACTTGTCTCCTCTTAGCATATAATCTCACTTCCCACTTCTCCAATAAAAGACGATATATTTCTTAACAATTTCCTTAACTTCCTGACACCAAACATTAAGACCATTCCTTCCTTACACACAACCCCTTATCACTCTGAAAAATGATGTACTCGGTGCCTAAGGTTAAGCCCTCATCTAATTCTGGATCCAATCCTCTTTCTCTCTCCTGGACCTCTATCAATGATCAACTTTCTTTTCTTTATCTTCATTTATATCCTCCCTGCTGGGATGGTCTGTGAGCATTCAAATATACTTAAGTTTTTTACATCCTAAAAATTCTCCCCCTCATTTTCACAAAGCCATTTACTTACCACCCAAAGCCTGCTAACTTCCCCACCTTCCTTTTTACTTTTCTACTGTTGCTATTTAAACACATGGCATTACCACTCCACCGAAATTTCTCCCATTAATGACAATTCATTGCAACAACATCTTTTAATGCACTAGGTTTCACATTGCTAATATTTCTAGGTTAGGCCAGCATAACCTTAGTATCAAAATCCAGCAGAAAGAACAATTTCAGGCAATCTCAGTCATAAACATCAATGTAAAAACCTTAAGCAAGATGGTAGCAACTCAAACAATTATTACGTAAACATAAACATACTTAGAATTTTATATAAATGTAGATCTTATTTTTATATTAAAATTATGTACATCTCATAGGGAGCTTCTGATTGAAGTTAATAAAAAAGAAAAAGAAAAAATCATATATTTCATAGTACAGTGTTGAAATCTTTTACTCTAATATTGATAATGATCGAAAAATTCCTACTACTATTACTTCCACTCGGCATCATCCTAGAAGCCCTAGTCAGTGCACTAAGGTAAAATAAGTAAATAAATGATGTAAAATTACAAAGGGATAGACAAAAACTCTCATTAGTTGCAGGTGATAAGATAATTTGCAGAGAAATCACAAGAATCTACAGATAAGTTATTAGAACTAAAAAGCTGAGAAAGAAAGCTAGATATAAAATCAATATAAAATGTCAAAAAAATGAAATTTTAAAAGATACCATATTATAGTCATAGAATATAATACCACCCAGCAATTTAAATTAAACAAAAAAGCTATTGGTACATAAAAGTAAGGATGCATCTAAAAAAAAATGTTGAGAGAAAGAAGATAGAAATGAGTATATATTACATTACCCATTTATATGAACTTCTAGACAAAGCAAACTATCTGTTTTGTTAAGAATGGAAACAGGAAAGGTGGAAGATTTTGGGCAATGGAAATGTTCTATAACTTGATCTGTGGTTGGTGGTCACATTGGTGAATGCAATTGCTGACATTCACTGTACACCTAAAATGTGTGTTTTATTGTATTAAAGTTATATCTCAATAAAACAAACATGATACTATATTGAAGAGTGAAATTTTACTCTTTTCTTGACCTATATATTAAAAAAATAAAGTTCTAGGTAAAAAAAAAAGACGTTAATCTAAAAGGCAGGGCTATAAAACCTTGGAACAATTGAGCATAGTCTTTCCTACTCTACACAGAGGAAATGAGTTCTTGAATAAGACTAAACAGCAATAATTACAAGAAAAAAAATCATGATGCTGCTAAATTTAAAGGCACTATAAATTGCATGGAAATAAAATCTATGGGGAGAAAAACAATACTGGCAACATAAATTACAAAATACTGATATTTAAAATATATAAATAACTCAATCAATTAGAAAACAAAAGAAAACTTTCCCCCCAAATGGCCAAAAAAGTTGAGTGAACAATTATTTCAAAGAGAAATCTGAAGAGAATAAAGATATAGGAAAAGGTGCAGAACGTTTTTATAATTAGGGAAATGTAAATTGAAACCATGAGAATGTATCATCATATACTCAATAAATTAATAAAAAAAAGTCTGACAAATCCAAGATAAAGTTAGAATGTGGGGCAATGAAAACTTGCCTGCACTACTGGTGGTATGTAAATTAGTGAATCTATGAAAATGGGTTTGATGTTATCTAGCAAATTTAAGATATGCTTTCTTAAGATATGCTTTATGTGGTATCACGACAATTCTACTCTTGTATACAAAACCTACAGAAATAAGTGCACAAGTATAAGACTGTATCCAAGATATATGTTCAAGAATGTTTATAATAGCATTACTTATAATAGTCTAAAAATGGAAACAAACTGCAGTAGATTGTGACACATTCATACAATAGAAAACAATACAGCAATATAAATGAATAAACTGCAACTGTGTGTAACAACGAGGAGGAATAATACGAACATAACGTTAAACTCAAGAAACAAGAAAAAGAATATAGGCAATATTGAGTCCATTGATAAGCTGTAATATTGGCAAAACTCATTATATAAGGATGCAAACACAGGTGATAAAATGTATTTAAAATGTAAAAAAAATGAGTATCATAAAAATTCAAATTAATGGTTATTCTACTGAGAAGGGAGGTCTGGCATGTAATCAGGGAGAAGCATATGGAAGTGTTTAGGATCCTTAGTATGTTCTATTTTTTGACCATAGCAGTGGTTGTTTCCTTTAAAATAATTCGCTAAACTGTCTTTGCGTTTTATGCAGTTTTCTATATGCTTGCTATTCTTCACTATAAAATAAAAATAAAAATTTATTAAGATAATTTCAACTCCCTTAGCATAAATTTACTGAGAAATTTTTATTGCTAATAAGAATAACTCCTAACTTCATTTTATCTAGATTTTTCTGCATCTTACATCTGTGCACTGAAAAGAAACACCTTCAATGTAGTCAACTTTTTACAGTTATAATTTATATTTATCAGCTCTATATGCACACTAAATTACCTGAGGTTTTTCACTACCAAGAATACATAAAAATGGCAAATCCAAACTACAGAAAAGTCATTTCTCCAAAGACTTTTATATTTTCCCTTGAGAAAGTTATTGTCTTAGTATTTCGTGAAACATCCTTTATCAGCAGTCAGCTTCTTCTTACATGTATACAACAAGAGCTCATTTCCTGTAAACTGTTTTCCACTTATTACATAACACGTATAGAAGTTGAAATACTGTAATGTCACATTTTATAGTAGACTTTCTGTCTTACTATATGAAAAATTTCCAGGCTCTTATTCCAATTTTGTTCATGTTACAAGTTAAAAACCAAGCAGGTATGCATCATGTAAGTATTAAATTCAGTACTTGATTAAAGTTATTATTATAATGAATGAAAGATTATGCCATTTCCCTAGATGACCATGAGATTACTTTTTCCCCCTTTAAATTACTCTAAAGCATAAATAGAATGTATTACTTAATACTGCTGGTTAGTATTAAAGGTCATTTCAATGACTAGTTCTCTCTCCTTTTTCTTTCAAAAAATACAGATTTTAATGTGTTTTGAGATCATATTGCATGGAGAATAGTCAAGCAAAACCATAGTTAGTATAGGAAAAAGCATATTTATCAGTATCTGGTCTTACTTTGCGAACACCTCTGCCAAGCTCTTCTCCATAGTTGGTTCCAAGAATTTCAAAGTGGACATTGGGATTGCCTCCATTTTCTCCAAATTCTAGCTCTCCAGTCAACCCACTAACTCCACCCTAAAGGAGAGAACAGATACTGATGTAAAATTTCAGAAAAATTAAAGAAAATAAATAAAAGGAAGTCCTAGGAACTCTACTTTCATGTATAAAATAAATATTTCAAGCATGCATTTATTAACAGGCTATTTTTGATAGGTGCACAGCACAAAAAAGAGTACAGTTGGAAGGCTTCTTGGATATCATTTAATTCAGTCTCATCTATTTGCCATACATACAAGGAAATTTAGACCCAAAGAGTCAAATGACTGCATGTTAGAGCTGAGACTAAATTTCAAGCTAGCATTTTTGCCACCATACCTTGTGTCTTGCATGGATTCATTAGTCAGAAAACAATATGCTACTGGAAAGCATAAAATCTACTCTGGAGACAAGTTTCAACAATGTTCTTTGCTCCAGCACTATTTCATTCAAATTTGATCTAAATTTATACCTGGGAATGTTAAAATACATGGTTTCTAAACTATTGGAGGTTTATTTTCCTCCTTCTTTAAATATATTTTCCAAATTAAAAAAAGAGAGAGAGAAAGAAAGCTAAATTAGGCTTGAAATCTGTTTTTACTCTTAACTGGTAGTGCTGGCTGTTGATTCATTGGGGATTTCCAAGCTTCATCTTTCATTCCACATGACAGATGTTCATTTCCCCAACAGATGGCAATGTAGGTCATACTTCTTTCTCTCTTGTTTACCATTCTTTTCTCAGTTTAGTTTATCAGCCCTCATTATTTCAGATTTTACAAATGAAAATCACATTGTGAGTCACTTCAACACTAAAGTATGTCTAACTTAGAATTTTGGCTTGATAATGACATCTATTTGGACAACAAATTATTTCAGTTTGTAAACTGCTTCAATTATCACTCCTGCAATGTTGATATTTAAATATATCTATTTGCCATAACCTATAACTCCACTTCTAGTGTTTTTTGGCTGATATTATGCTGTCTGCTATAACTCCTACTTAATCTGTGCCTGGCAGCCTATCACTTGATGCTAATTCATAACAAGAGTTCAATAAACCATTGTTGGTTGATGTTTTTCTACTTTAATCATTCATTTCAATATTTAATCTATTTTATTTTTGTAACAGTAATAATCAACAAAATTAATCCTCCGCTATTATTTCTAGTCAGCAAGCTTCTCTTTTATTATCCAATTTTATTAATTGAAAACCCGTTGAATTTGATGTGTCTGTGCTCTTTTGTGTATTATTTAGCAGTCATTAGCATAGGTCACATTTCTTGGATTTTACAAATGGAATCAGAAATTACTGGCTGTGTAAACCTAAGTCATTTAATTTCTCTATGCCTCAATTTCTACGTCTATTAAATGGGAAAGTAATGGTACCTACCCCTGAAGATTATTACGATTCGTATAATAATATAATACACATAAACAATATAGAGAAGAGTACTTGACATATGGTGAGAGCTTAATTACTATAATTATTATCATTATTGCTTCCACCAGTATTTTATTCTTTAATTTTTGAGCTTTCTAGTTTTCGTAGAAATTATAAGCATGGTCTTGGTTTTATTCAATTAAAGTTTATTAGGTTTGCAAATATTCATTATATGCTTGAATATTTAGATGGTTATGGAAAATATTTATGCAAACTTAACTCAATTACATTTTATTGATTAGTACTTCAAGAGAAAAGAATTAAAGCAGCTGGTCTAGGATTTATTCACTTCTTTTACTGGTGGATGTGTAGGGCAAGGGGTGGGGTGGGTTTGGCAGGGGTAAGCAGGTATAATGTCCTTGTCACCTGGAATTCCAGGTAAATAGACTAGTAATATTTACTAGGAGGAAGAGTCCTTATCTATACAAAGCCCTTAGGAGGATATTTCAGGAGAAGGAAATATTGTAGTAAATAAACCCAGGATCTATGGATTAATGGTTTGCTCCCTGGAATGTATCCTGAAGCTTTACACTATCTAGTGTAAAAAATAAGATATTTCATAATGTAATTGTTCCCTGTTGTGAGAGGTAAACCTGCAAGATATTCCTTGGAGACAGAATGTGCATGTTCAATGTGGGAAGAAAGGAGCTGGAGAGCCATGCAGAATGTGCCATATGTTTTCTCCTTTGTCTGTGCCCCTTGCTTGCCTGTACAAGTATCTCTGATGTAGGTGATATATCCAATTCTTGCAAGCCAATTTGATCTTATGTGTTAGTTCAGTATTAATATCTCAAAACATCCAATTATCACTTAAGATTTTAAAGACTGAATTAAGTAGAGTGGATCTTATTATCATTAATGTCATCAAATGGCAAATACTGCAGGAAACTGACTGACAAATATAGCTTGTATTACTATAAGTAAGTTCAAACTACTGATATTCAGAAATCTTTTTATAAGAACTTTTCTTTTCCTCAGCCACACATCTACCTCAAATATCTCCTAATTATATCAGAATCTTAGATTTCTGTCTTAGTATTTAATTTCTAGGAAAAAAGGAAAGATACTGTACCTTATTAATATGATTGCTATATAGCAAATATAGTACACACCTGAAATTTTTAAACATATGAGCACTAGACTGCTTGTTGCTTTACTATTATTCCCAGTCAATATGCAGATGACCACTCCAGGCCATGTCATTGCACCTAGCTTGTATCTGCCACTGAGCGACTTAGTGTACTTTCATTGAACAAGGTACAAAAAACAATAAATCAAGGGACTTGCATTTAGTTTGCTGCAGCCTCCACTTGTCTTGTTCACCTTTTTGACTTTGTAATTTATCTTCTTTATGCTATATTCTTAATGAGTTCTTGGCATGTGTAATCAATGAAACCTTCCCTCATGAAGATGTCAGGGATGCCTGGAAGGTCAGTATTTCAAGCAAAGAAACCCTTTCACTGAAGCCCTTTGTTACATCACCCAGACTTAACCACTCTGATTTTTGATTGCCTTAGAAAATTCCTGTGCTTTTGAACTTCTTTTCATCTCTCCTCAGATGACCCTTGAAAACAGAGCTTTGGTAAAAATGTGTGCTGACCAGGTGACAAGGAATGGTTATTGTCTTCGTGCATGCACAGTTGTATTTTTTTTAATCTCTTGATGTGGCAGATTCTAAACAAAATAAGCTAATGGGACATTGATAGTATGAATAATGCATACAGATAATTTCTAAAAGTACTTTAAATTGACAGTAAAAATTGCTGACAGTGTAAACCTTTTTAAAATGCCAAATAAAATAAGTTTGGATTTCATCCTACCCACCTGATATAGAATTATTGGTGAGCATCAAATATAGAGAACAAAGAGAAGAAAAATAAGGAGAATAGAATTAGTGGTTGGTAATAATTTACTACTGGATAATAAGTTTCTGAAAGGCAAAAGTGTGTTGTTCCCTATAGGATAAGTGGGGAAAAAAAATAAAAAAAATATTTAGTTAGCCTTTATTTCATTCTATGTATGAAGGATCTTTTCCTATACTTGAAATTGCAAAAGAACTTAAGGACACTTCAGGAGGATCATATGGAACATCAAATATTTACCATACTCACCTAAGTTCCTTATACATATTCCTAGGTTCTTTGTAACCTGCAGAATGCTTAGTAACCAAGGACACCCTGTTAAATAACCATGAGCACAGCAAGGCAGTGAACACACTGGGAGATGCCAGAATCAGTGGCGTGCTCTGATACACCCATGTTTCATAAGTGTAGGTGCAGAGAGAAAAATCCCTGCAGAAGAAAAATACTGCATTTTCTAAGCAAAGATAGTATGAGTAGATAAATGCCAGGATGCAGGATGTGAACAACAAAAATAAAAACAAAAAACTCAATTTGTGTGATATTTAGAAAAATGATATTTGCCATATAACATTTATATATATATATATGTATATATGCACATATAAGTTTACTATATACATATACACTCAAATATTCATAGTAGAGACTGTGGCAAACTGAGAATAGGATGTTGCTAGCATTTTGATTATGCTCTCTACATCTTAGAGGAAACTGAAATCTAGACAACTAATTAATCGAGAAACCTGAACTAAAATTATCTTGTACTTATTTTTTCCTCTAGACTATATAAACTGTGTGTCCAAAATAACATATGCATATCATAGTGAATTGTTCAAAAAAATGTATGTTGAACTGAATTAAGTTAAAATCTATGCTACTTTACCCACTTTACGATTCAAATGACCTGAACTTGGAGTGTACCTTGGTGAGTCTGCAAGAGGCCAATTTCAAGGGCATGGATGGTGTTTATAAAATCTCCTATGGCAAAAGTTTATTTGCACACATTTTTTTAAAAAAGGCTGTCTTCTATTCCAAGTCAATACTGTTCGTGGTAAGTCAGAATATGTTTTCCTAAATTCTCTCTTTCCTCTAGGTTTGTAGATTCTAAATAATACACAGTGCTTTAGACAAAAAACAAAGTAATATGTTTCCATTCCTTTAAGTACTGCATAGAAATTTTCTTAAAAGCACTCTAAACCAAACAAAACAACTAATTAGAATTATTTTCATCCAAGCCATAAATCTAGGAGTCATCTTTTTATTCCTCCTCTTCCTCACACACTTGTATTAAATCACCAAATCTTATTTCAGTCTCCTACACATCTCTCAAAGACATTTAGTTCTCTCCATCCCGTGGCCCATGCCCTTGCCAGGCTTCCTCTAAGTAGGAACATGAACTTCGTAATTGATGTTTTCTCATCCAAACTGTCCTGGTTCAAAGAGAGCCGGAGAATGGATTCTCCACTTGGCAGTCACAGGGTAATCTGATCTTGTCACCTCCCTGGTTAAAATACTTCAGTGTCATTTTACCCCTCAAATAAAGTTTAGGAAGTTTATCACGGCTTACAAAACCTTTCATGTTCTTTCCTCATCTCCCTCTCTTCGCTAATAAGGAACCACTTCCCTATTCTCTCTCTTTTCTAGCCATCCCGGTCTTATTTCAGATGCATACAAATGCTGTGCTCCCTTTCCTTCAAGCCTGCTAACATTCCCTTGCATAAAACATTCTTCCTCCC